GGCTTCACTCTTTGTGCTGTACAGTTCTGTGGATTTTGACAAATGCATGACATCATCTCTGCAACATTACGATATCATACAGAATAGTTTCACTGCCCTAAAAATTCCCTGTGCTCCATCTAGTCATCCTTCCCTCCCTACAAGTCCATGACAATCACTGACTATTTCACTGTGTCCATAATTTTGCCTTTTCCAGAATGTTATATAGTTGGAATCATATAATACGTAGTCTTTTCATATTAGCATCTTTCACTAAGCAATATGCATTGCAGGTTCATAACTTTTCATGGCCTGATAGCTCTTTTTTTTTTGAGATGGAGTCTTGCTCTGTCACGTAGGCTGAAGTGCAGTGGCTTGATCTCGGCTCACTGCAACCTCTGCCTCCTGGGTTCAAGCAATTCTCCTGCCTCAGCCTCCCAAGTAGCTGGGATTACAGGTGCATGCCAATACCCTTGGCTAATTTTTGTATTTTTAGTAGATGTTGCATTTCACCATGTCGGCCAGGATGCTCTTGAACTCCTGACCCCAAGTGATCCACCCGCCTTGGCCTTCCAAAGTGCTGGGATTACAGACCTGAGCCACTGTGTCCGGCCTTGATAGCTCTTTCTATTGCTGAATAATATTCCATGGTTTGTCTATTCATTCACCTTTTGGAGGACATCTTGGTAGCTTTCAGTTTTGGGCAATTATAAATAATTTATAAATAAAGTTGCTATGAACAATCGTATTCTGTTTTTTTTTTTTTTTTTTTTTTGGTGGACATAAGTTTTCACCTCAATTAGGTAAATAACTAAAATGCAATTGCTGGATTTTATGGTAAGATCATATTGAGCTTTGCAAGAATCCATCAAACTGTCTTCCAAAGTGGCTGCACCGTTTTGCATTCCCACCAGCAATGAACGAGAGTTCCTATTGCTCCACATCCTCACCGGCATTTGGAATTGTCAGGTTTTTTTGGATATTAGCCATTCTAATATGTATGTAGTGGTATCTCGTTGTTGTTTTAATTTGTATTTCCCTGTGTGACACAGGATGTTGTGTACCTTGTCATGTACTTATTTGCCATCTGTATCTCTTCTTTGGTGAAGTGGCTGTTCAGATCTTTTGGCCACTTTTAAATTGGGTTGTTTATTTTCTTATTGTTGAATTTTTACAGTTCTTTGTATACTTTAGATACAAGTCCTTTATCAGATATGTGTTTTGCAAATATTTTCTCCCAGTCTGTAGCTTCTCTTTCAATTCTTTTAAAAATATCTTTTGCAGAGTGGTGTTTTAATTTTAAATAAAGTCCAACATCAATTTTTTCTTTCATGAATCTAGATTGTCTTCCAAAACACCAAGCTAGCCAAACAAAACACATCAAGTCAGTTATTGATCCTGGGCTCAGCGGCTCACATAGGAGCTGTGTCCTAAATCCAGAATATGAGGCAGTGAGAGGGCACTGGGTCTGGGATGGTGGCGCGGTAGGCCCGGGCAGATGGGCCCAGTGGCTCCTTCCCCAGTGCGGTGTCCGGCATGCAGCAGATGCTGGAGAGATGGACTTCAAGATGGCACTATGCCAGCCACAATGGGCACTATGCTGTATACCAGTTCCTACTGCTAAGTGGAGCTAAGTGTGATGCCCAGACCCATGGGGGTGCCATTGCTCTGCAGCAGGACTGCTACTGAGGGCACACTGAAATTGCACGGCCTCTGCTTTCACATGGGTCCAAGCCCAGATTGAGAGATGATGACGGCATGACCAGTCTACATAAGGCCCCTGAGAAGGGTCATGTGGACATTTGCTCCCTCCTGTTGCAACATAGCTTAGCCCTGAAGGCCATCTGGAATGGAAGGCATGGCTAGCATGTGACCTGCTGCCCTGCAACAGTGACCTGCTGGCTAGCTGAGTTGCCACCCTCCTGTCTCAGGCTGCCCTTGAAGGGGACACAGACCAAGTTTTTAAGCCCCCACCTTGTTCAGCATCCATGCTGTGGGGCAGGAAACTGAGGCTTGAAGACCCAGGGAGACCCCCAGTCTGGCCACTGTGGAAGCAAGGGAGTAGGTTTGGTGGGGCTGAAAGTGTTTAGGCTTGGACAGATGATCATATCCCAGATTGGCTCACATGAGACATCTATCCATTTGGAAAAAAGAAGTTACATTCTTACCTCATCCCATATGCAAAGATACATTGTAAGATTAAAGATCTAAATATAAAAACACAAAATGATGTAGGAACTAGAAGAAAATATGGAATAGGTGACAAAAGCTGCTTTCTAGCTGAATGACCTTGGTACAAGTCATTTGACCTGTCTATTTCTCAATTTCCTAATCTGGAAACTGACAATGATTATAATAGGGCCTGCCTCAAAGTCATGGTGGTCACTAACTGGGTAAACATTAGGAAAGCCCTTGAGAGAGTGGCACACAGCAAGCAGCCTAGGACAGGACCTGCTGCCCCACCATGCAATCAACACTTGCTGCTATACCATGATTTCATTACTTTTAACAGTCTATAGGTAGAAAAGTGCTACTGCTTTGTTTTCTTTTGCATTGCTAATGAGCACCCGTCTTCCATGAACTGCCTGCCCATGCCCATTTAAAAAATGTTGACCAGGTGTGGTGCCTCACACCTGTAATCCCAGCACTTTGAGAGGCTGAGGTGGGAGGATCACTTAAGCCCAGGAATTCAAGACCAGCCTGGGCAACAAGGTGAGACTCTTCCTCTACAAACAATTTTTTTTTTTTTTTTAATTAGCCAGGTATGGTGGCACATGCCTGTGATCCAAGCTACTCAGGAGGCTGAGGCAGGAGGATTGCCTGAGCCCAGGAGGTCAAGGTTGCAGGGAGCCCTGATCACACTGC